GCCAATAATCGATTCTTTAAATCGCGCAAAGAAATCGAATGTTGTCGATTCCTTTGGAATCGTCTTGAAGCGACGACGCGCAACAGACATAGTTTATATCCTTAGTTTTTTCGGTAAAGTCACGTTGAAGGGAAACAACAAAATAATAAAATATATATAAAACAATAAAAAATTCTCACGACGTTTCGACCATAACTCAAACGGTCGTCTTCAGGTGTGTTGAAGACGACCGTTTGAGTTATGGTCGAAACGTCGTGAGAATTTTTTTATTGTTTTATATATATTATTATTTTGTTGTTTCCCTTCAACGTGACTTTACCGAAAAAACTAAGAATATGAATTACTGCAGTCACGAAAGCTTTAAATCAAAATCATAGTTTATAGTTCATTTATTTGGTATAGCCCTGTGAGCCATTCGGCTCTTGAATCGGGTGCAACCGCAACAAACAAAAAATATTAACAAGAAAACATCTTAAAGTGTTTATGTGACTGTGCAAACAGAAAATACAGGAAAAAATATCAAAATATTCCTGAAATAGCACCGTACACCAACGCTGTGTGCAAAAATCCCAGTGGGATGCAAGTCAAATAACAACAACCACAAGACAACTAAGATTAAGGCCATCAGTCTAACTCCGTACTACAATAAACAAAAACATGGCCAAAACAAAAAAACTTTTCGAAATCACCAAAATAAAAGCCATAAATCCAATGTAACAGTGATCATAGGGACTGTGACCGAATTTTTAACAATAAACTACATAAATAAATTATAAGACCAAAATCTAGAGCCATATTTTAGGCCACTGAATAGCAGTGGCAGCTAGGGTTGTACAACTCCTCTAGAGCAGTTTTGAGTGAAGATCTCATAGGTAGTGATTCAAATTGCAGTTTATTGGCAATAGCATTCCAGAACCTGGGGGCATCAATAGCAAAGGCCCTTCCTCCAGTTTTTGTACGGCAATAGGGAATGTGAAGCTGGTAAATGAGCGAAGACCTGAGGTCAAATTTGTTCTTTGAAACAGAGAGGAGATCCAGTAGGTAGTCTGCGGAATTTTTTGTAAGTACATCGTGAATAAATAAGATCTGGTGCACAAGCCATCGAACATTAAGAGATGTTAAGTTTTACCCAATGTAGAGATCACAGTGAGATCACAGAGATCACATAATGGATAAACCAGCAAATCTTTAAAAAAAGTATTACAACGCTGTATGCTCAAATCCCAGTGTGATGCAAGTGAAACAATACCAACCATAAGATAGATTAACCCTATGTTTTCGAAATCACCAAAAAAGCTTCAAAAACAATTTTACAACAGTAATCATAGGAACTGCGATTCTCATTTAACAATAAACGATATAAATAGCATGTACAACCAAACTAGCAGCCATAGCTGGCAGCATGCCACTCCCAGTGTATGATGTGTGAGTCAGCGCATGATGAGTGAGTGTATGATGAGTGAATGGGTCAGTGGTTGTGTGAGTGAGTGTATGATAATATAATTTGGTTGCATGTCGGCAAGTATGCTAAACATCTTCTTTGGTTCTTTCGGTAAAGTCACGTAGAATGAGAATAAAATAATAAAATAACACGATAAAATTCTCACGACGTTTCGGCCACAATGCAAGCGGCCATCTTCAGGTGAAAGGAACAGACATTTCGAACAGACACATATTCACAACTTTTCCTTTCATATATAAGATAGATAGAGTCAGCATGTACTATTGTAGTGAAAGCTATAATCATAGCAGGAACCACCATAGTCGGTATGCACTGCTGTAGTCATAGCAGGATACCACCACAGTCAGCATGCAATGCTGTAGTCATAGCAGGTACCACCACAGCAGTATGCAATGCTGAAATAGCAGGTACCACCACAGCAGTATGCACTGCTGTAATCATAGCAGGTGCCACCACAGCAGTATGCACTGCTGAAATCATAGCAGGTACCACAACAGCAGTATGCACTGCTGTAATCATAGCAGGTACCACCACAGCAGTATGCACTGCTGTAATCATAGCAGGTACCACAACAGAAGTATGCACTGCTGTAATCATAGCAGGTACCACCACAGCAGTATGCACTGCTGTAATCATAGCAGGTACCACCACAGTAGGGTGTATTCATAGCAGGTACCACCACAGTCAGTATGCACTGCTGTAATCATAGCAGGTACCATCACAATATGCACTGCTGTAATAATAGCAGGTACCACCACAATCAGTATGCACTGCTGTAATCATAGCAGGTACCACCACAATCAGTATGCACTGCTGTAATCATAGCAGATACCACCACAATCAGTATGCACTGCTATAATAATAGCAGGTACCACCGGTCGGTATGCACTGCTGTAATCATAGCAGGTAGCACCACAGTATGCAGTGCTGTAGTGATAGTAGATACTCCTATCGAGTTGGTAGATACTGCTATATCGAGTTAGTAGATACTAAAACAGTCGGTATATACCACTACAGTCATTAAATACTGCTACAGTTAGCAAATACTACTACACAGTCAGTAGATACTACTACGGTCAGTAACTACTGCTATAGAGTCAGTAGTTACTACTATACATTTAGTAGATACTGCTTTAGAGTTAGTAGTTACTACTATAGTCAGTGGATACTACTATAGAGTCAGCAGATACTACTAGACAGTCGTTACTACTGTAGAGTCGGTAGATACTACTGTAGGCCCAGTAAATACTGCTACGGTCAGTAGTTATTACAGTCACTAAATACTACTACACAGTCAGTAGCTACTACTGGCTCAGTAGATACAGTCATTAGATACAACTACAGAGTCAACAGATACTACTTCCTCTGTTTTACGTAGGGTATATATACCTACGCAGGGGTAAAGATATTTTTGAGGGGGGGGTCGACAATTTTCAGAAACCTTTTAGATAAACTATTTACCCCCCACTTTCTATAACTTTCTGGACTTGTGCAAGCTTCTTATAATTTCGTTGGTGGAGAAATGGACAAACGGCCCACAGGGCTTTCATAACAGCTTACTATCTGTGTATGTAAATGTACGGTTTTAAAGAGAAGTTTTGAAATAGATTTTTTTACCCGGGCTACGCCGGGTACTTACCGCTAGTATATATATAATCTTACAAAATGAACACACCTGGCCCTTCTGGAGGTGATGGTTCTGGCTCATTGATGCCGGAGGTTGGAGGTGGGGGTGTCTTGTCCTTCGATGCAGTTGGTTCTGTAGGAAGAGTGCAAACCTCACTGATTGGCTGTGCCAGGTGGTGGTGCATTTAAGTACACATTTACCTGATCCAACAAAAAAAATGATGGCATTTAATATATTATCCATGTGATTTTGCAACTAATTCCAGAATGGTACCTGGGCTTGCTTTAGATGGAGTTGGTGCAGGGGGTCCACCTGCTGTGGAGCAGCAGAATCTGACCTTGTAGTTGTAACATGGCAGTCCTCCTTGATCCTCATTGACACATTTCAGTCCTTTATTCTTGTCACAAGTTATTGTCTGGCCCAATTCCTGCCATGGGGTATTGGGGAATCTCTCGGCTTTGCATTCAATGTTTTGCACCGGTGAGTCAGGCAGACAAACCACTTTCCCTGAGGCTATGACCTTCTGGTAAGATTCCTCATCTCCGCCATTTTCTTCATCAGGATATTGCTCATGGTACCAGTCAGACCAGCCTGGAGTACAGTCTTCTGCAAAGATACATTCTTAATCAGTCTTCAAACGGTTACTATGTATATATCAACTACATTTCTATAAGATAATGTTCTGACAGCTATAAAATGCATCATACCTATTAATGTGCAGTTTGTAGGAATGTATAGCGAAATATGTATTTACGTTCAGCAAGCATACAGTGAGTCTTCATCATGAATGGACTGTACATAGAGTTACTGAATTTTCGTTGAGTATCAACCCGAAATCCTGGTGAGCTGCCATACCCCTTCTGTTAGCACCCCCTACTTTTAGGAAGATACGGTCGCTCAATTACTCTGACACAGGCTGATCTACTGCTCCGTAAGTTCCTCCTATTCTGCTACCAACCCAGCCTAGAGTCTGTGAGTCATACCCTGTTCCAGTAAATAAGCCAAGTTTGGGACCAGAACACTGTAAAGTAGGACAAAAGCCCACATTTAAAATGCTTCAGGACACTAGCATAGCCTTTTTGAAACCGGGAATGTCCCGGCACAACCAGAACATATGGTTGCTTTGACTGAACATGTGATTGTATGTAAAATATTATCCACATGTGATGTTGCAACTAATTCCACCATGGTACCTGGGCCTGGAGTTGGGGGTGATGGTTCTGGCTCCTTGCTGCTGGAGGTTGGAGGTGGGGGTGTCTTGTCCTTCGATCCAGTTGGCTCTGGAGGAGGAGCGCCACTCTTTTCAGGAGCTGGCTTTGTTGGCTTTTCCTCTACCGGGGGTTTCGGTGTCACTTTGAAAGAAAAGCAAGGGATGGACGTTGACATAATGTAGATTGTTTAGACGTGGGAGCATGGACATACAGAACAATAAAGGTACGTGGCATTCTGCCCTCTCCAGCCACATCGTTAAACATTAGCCTATGATATCTATTACACAAGTAGTCACCCATCCCAACCTCATCCAGGTGCAAGTCTAATTCGATTATGAGATCTAACACATGAAGTCGCATTGTGTAATATGATCCTAAGTAGTATACAGCCTGCATATCTTCTTCTAACCTATAAAAGGCATTTTTTGTCTGTCCGTATGTCTGTCCGTCCGTCTGCGTACGCTCGCTTGCGGGGGATTTGGCTCTCGGACCGTGGGGATCGCGTAGAAAAAAAATTTGCCGGGCGGCACGCCCCAGGCCCCGCGGTGGGAATAGGCTATTCCGTTTTTCCATCCCTAAACTTTAAAGTGGTTAAAATCGCGTTTTGGTGCGATTTATCTATATTTATTTATTTATGCCGACCGGCTCGCTGCTGCGCATGCGCGAAACGCTAACGCGAGTTGCCCCTGGCAACGCACAGCGATTAAATAGTATTATTGTAGCGCGGGGGGGGGGCGGGGGATAGCGGCCCAGCCCCCAGCCTCGGCCGGCCGTGCAATCTAGGCGAGGCCGGGGGCTCTGCACGGGACTAGGCCTCGTCACGGCAATCTGTCAGGTGAGTACTTTGTGCTAAAGAGTCGATAAATATATATTGCTACTAGCGGGGAAATATATTTAAAAACGTCTGAAAACTTAAAAACATAACATACAAATGAAAAGATAACTCATTAATTTAAAATCAAATATAACCCGATCGCGCCAATAATCGATTCTTTAAATCGCGCAAAGAAATCGAAGGTTGTAGATTCCTTTGGAATCGTCTTGAAGCGACGACGCGCAACAGACATCATAGTTCATAGTTCATTTATTTGGTATAGCCCTGTGAGCCATTCGGCTCTTGAATCGGGTGCAACCGCAACAAACAAAAAACATGAACAAGAAAACATCTTAAAGTGATTATGTGACTGTGCAAACAGAAAATACAGGAAAAAAATATCAAAATATTCCTGAAATAGCACCGTACACCAACGCTGTGTGCAAAAATCCCAGTGGGATGCAAGTCAAATAACAACAACAACAACCACAAGACAACTAAGATTAAGGCCATCAGTCTAACACCGTACTACAACAAACAAAAACATGGCCAAAACAAAAAAAACTTTTCGAAATCACCAAAATAAAAGCCATAAATCCAATGTAACAGTGATCATAGGGACTGTGACCGAATTTTTAACAATAAACTACATAAATAAATTATAACACCAAAATCTAGAGCCATATTTTAGGCCACTGAATAGCAGTGGCAGCTAGGGTTGTACAACTCCTCTAGAGCAGTTTTGAGTGAAGATCTCATAGGTAGTGATTCAAGTTGCAGTTTATTGGCAATAACATTCCAGACCCTGGGGGCATCAATAGCAAAGGCCCTTCCTCCAGTTTTTGTACGGCAATAGGGAATGTGAAGCTGGTAAATGAGCGAAGACCTGAGGTCAAATTTGTTCTTTGAAACAGAGAGGAGATCCAGTAGGTAGTCTGCGGAATTTTTTGTAAGTACATCGTGAATAAATAAGATCTGGTGCACAAGCCATCGAACATTAAGAGATGTTAAGTTTTACCCAATGTAGAGATCACAGTGAGATCACAGAGATCACATAATGGATAAACCAGCAAATCTTTAAAAAAAGTATTACAACGCTGTATGCTCAAATCCCAGTGTGATGCAAGTGAAACAATACCAACCATAAGATAGATTAACCCTATGTTTTCGAAATCACCAAAAAAGCTTCAAAAACAATTTTACAACAGTAATCATAGGAACTGCGATTCTCATTTAACAATAAACGATATAAATAGCATGTACGACCAAACTAGCAGCCATAGCTGGCAGCATGCCACTCCCAGTGTATGATGTGTGAGTCAGCGCATGATGAGTGAGTGTATGATGAGTGAATGGGTCAGTGGTTGTGTGAGTGAGTGTATGATAATATAATTTGGTTGCATGTCGGCAAGTATGCTAAACATCTTCTTTGGTTCTTTCAATAAAGTCACGTAGAATGAGAATAAAATAATAAAATAACACGATAAAATTCTCACGACGTTTCGGCCACAATGCAAGCGGCCATCTTCAGGTGAAAGGAACAGACATTTCGAACAGACACATATTCACAACTTTTCCTTTCATATATAAGATAGATAGAGTCAGCATGTACTATTGTAGTGAAAGCTGTAATCATAGCAGGAACCACCATAGTCGGTATGCACTGCTGTAGTCATAGCAGGATACCACCACAGTCAGCATGCAATGCTGTAGTCATAGCAGGTACCACCACAGCAGTATGCAATGCTGAAATAGCAGGTACCACCACAGCAGTATGCACTGCTGTAATCATAGCAGGTGCCACCACAGCAGTATGCACTGCTGAAATCATAGCAGGTACCACAACAGCAGTATGCACTGCTGTAATCATAGCAGGTACCACCACAGCAGTATGCACTGCTGTAATCATAGCAGGTACCACAACAGGAGTATGCACTGCTGTAATCATAGCAGGTACCACCACAGCAGTATGCACTGCTGTAATCATAGCAGGTACCACCACAGTAGGGTGTATTCATAGCAGGTACCACCACAGTCAGTATGCACTGCTGTAATCATAGCAGGTACCATCACAATATGCACTGCTGTAATAATAGCAGGTACCACCACAATCAGTATGCACTGCTGTAATAATAGCAGGTACCACCACAATCAGTATGCACTGCTGTAATCATAGCAGGTACCACCACAATCAGTATGCACTGCTGTAATCATAGCAGATACCACCACAATCATTATGCACTGCTATAATAATAGCAGGTACCACCGGTCGGTATGCACTGCTGTAATCATAGCAGGTAGCACCACAGTATGCAGTGCTGTAGTGATAGTAGATACTCCTATCGAGTTGGTAGATACTGCTATATCGAGTTAGTAGATACTAAAACAGTCGGTATATACCACTACAGTCATTAAATACTGCTACAGTTAGCAAATACTACTACACAGTCAGTAGATACTACTACGGTCAGTAACTACTGCTATAGAGTCAGTAGTTACTACTATACATTTAGTAGATACTGCTTTAGAGTTAGTAGTTACTACTATAGTCAGTGGATACTACTATAGAGTCAGCAGATACTACTAGACAGTCGTTACTACTGTAGAGTCGGTAGATACTACTGTAGGCCCAGTAAATACTGCTACGGTCAGTAGTTATTACAGTCACTAAATACTACTACACAGTCAGTAGCTACTACTGGCTCAGTAGATACAGTCATTAGATACAACTACAGAGTCAACAGATACTACTTCCTCTGTTTTATGTAGGGTATATATACCTACGCAGGGGTAAAGATATTTTTGAGGGGGGGGTCGACAATTTTCAGAAACCTTTTAGATAAACTATTTACCCCCCACTTTCTATAACTTTCTGGACTTGTGCAAGCTTCTTATAATTTCGTTGGTGGAGAAATGGACAAACGGCCCACAGGGCTTTCATAACAGCTTACTATCTGTGTATGTAAATGTACGGTTTTAAAGAGAAGTTTTGAAATAGATTTTTTTACCCGGGCTACGCCGGGTACTTACCGCTAGTATATATATAATCTTACAAAATGAACACACCTGGCCCTTCTGGAGGTGATGGTTCTGGCTCATTGATGCCGGAGGTTGGAGGTGGGGGTGTCTTGTCCTTCGATGCAGTTGGTTCTGTAGGAAGAGTGCAAACCTCACTGATTGGCTGTGCCAGGTGGTGGTGCATTTAAGTACACATTTACCTGATCCAACAAAAAAAATGATGGCATTTAATATATTATCCATGTGATTTTGCAACTAATTCCAGAATGGTACCTGGGCTTGCTTTAGATGGAGTTGGTGCAGGGGGTCCACCTGCTGTGGAGCAGCAGAATCTGACCTTGTAGTTGTAACATGGCAGTCCTCCTTGATCCTCATTGACACATTTCAGTCCTTTATTCTTGTCACAAGTTATTGTCTGGCCCAATTCCTGCCATGGGGTATTGGGGAATCTCTCGGCTTTGCATTCAATGTTTTGCACCGGTGAGTCAGGCAGACAAACCACTTTCCCTGAGGCTATGACCTTCTGGTAAGATTCCTCATCTCCGCCATTTTCTTCATCAGGATATTGCTCATGGTACCAGTCAGACCAGCCTGGAGTACAGTCTTCTGCAAAGATACATTCTTAATCAGTCTTCAAACGGTTACTATGTATATATCAACTACATTTCTATAAGATAATGTTCTGACAGCTATAAAATGCATCATACCTATTAATGTGCAGTTTGTAGGAATGTATAGCGAAATATGTATTTACGTACAGCAAGCATACAGTGAGTCTTCATCATGAATGGACTGTACATAGAGTTACTGAATTTTCGTTGAGTATCAACCCGAAATCCTGGTGAGCTGCCATACCCCTTCTGTTAGCACCCCCTACTTTTAGGAAGATACGGTCGCTCAATTACTCTGACACAGGCTGATCTACTGCTCCGTAAGTTCCTCCTATTCTGCTACCAACCCAGCCTAGAGTCTGTGAGTCATACCCTGTTCCAGTAAATAAGCCAAGTTTGGGACCAGAACACTGTAAAGTAGGACAAAAGCCCACATTTAAAATGCTTCAGGACACTAGCATAGCCTTTTTGAAACCGGGAATGTCCCGGCACAACCAGAACATATGGTTGCTTTGACTGAACATGTGATTGTATGTAAAATATTATCCACATGTGATGTTGCAACTAATTCCACCATGGTACCTGGGCCTGGAGTTGGGGGTGATGGTTCTGGCTCCTTGCTGCTGGAGGTTGGAGGTGGGGGTGTCTTGTCCTTCGATCCAGTTGGCTCTGGAGGAGGAGCGCCACTCTCTTCAGGAGCTGGCTTTGTTGGCTTTTCCTCTACCGGGGGTTTTGGTGTCACTTTGAAAGAAAAGCAAGGGATGGACGTTGACATAATGTAGATTGTTTAGACGTGGGAGCATGGACATACAGAACAATAAAGGTACGTGGCATTCTGCCCTCTCCAGCCACATCGTTAAACATTAGCCTATGATATCTATTACACAAGTAGTCACCCATCCCAACCTCATCCAGGTGCAAGTCTAATTCGATTATGAGATCTAACACATGAAGTCGCATTGTGTAATATGATCCTAAGTAGTATACAGCCTGCATATCTTCTTCTAACCTATAAAAGGCATTTTTTGTCTGTCCGTATGTCTGTCCGTCCGTCTGCGTACGCTCGCTTGCGGGGGATTTGGCTCTCGGACCGTGGGGATCGCGTAGAAAAAAAATTTGCCGGGCGGCACGCCCCAGGCCCCGCGGTGGGAATAGGCTATTCCGTTTTTCCATCCCTAAACTTTAAAGTGGTTAAAATCGCGTTTCGGTGCGATTTATCTATATTTATTTATTTATGCCGACCGGCTCGCTGCTGCGCCGGCGCGAAACTCTAACGCGAGTTGCCCCTGGCAACGCACAGCGATTAAATAGTATTATTGTCGCGCGGGGGGGGCGGGGGATAGCGGCCCAGCCCCCAGCCTCGGCCGGCCGTGCAATCTAGGCGAGGCCGGGGCCTCTGCACGGGACTAGGCCTCGTCACGGCAATCTGTCAGGTGAGTACTTTGTGCTAAAGAGTCGATAAATAGGATCATTGCTGGGATCACAAAAAGATCTCCAAAATCTTGAATAAAACACAAGATCCAGGTCCGTTTCAAACACATTACATAAATCCGTGATCTGGTTCCGTCTGTAAAGATGTGATTCCGGACATACAATACCCTGGTGTCTACAAACTAAGTTGCCTCTGTGGTAGTAGTTACATTGGAGAAACCAAACGCCATATCTCGGACCGCATTCGTGAACATAAAGCAGACCTTAAACACGGTAGGACCAACACCTCGGCCGTAGCAGATCATTGTCTAATTCAGTAGGCTCACATGCCATTGACTTTTCCAAGACGGAGGTTCTTTGTAAGCCATCTGGCTTCCATGAGAGATTCGTTCATGAGGCTATCCACATATACAAACACAGAGACAATTTCAACCGAGAAGATGGATTCTATCTTAGCAATCATTGGAAAGATTTGATAAATCATTTCAGTTTCTTGATTGATTGTTCACGCTTACAGTGCCTTTCAGACAGCATACATTCTGCCCTCTCCAGCCACATCGTTAAACATTAGCCTATGATATCTATTACACAAGTAGTCACCCATCCCAACGTCATCCAGGTGCAAGTCTAATTCGATTATGAGATCTAACACATGAAGTCGCATTGTGTAATATGATCCTAAGTAGTATACAGCCTGCATATCTTCTTCTATTTATTTATGCCGACCGGCTCGCTGCTGCGCCGGCGCGAAACTCTAACGCGAGTTGCCCCTGGCAACGCACAGCGATTAAATAGTATTATTGTAGCGCGGGGGGGGCGGGGGATAGCGGCCCAGCCCCCAGCCTCGGCCGGCCGTGCAATCTAGGCGAGGCCGGGGGCTCTGCACGGGACTAGGCCTCGTCACGGCAATCTGTCAGGTGAGTACTTTGTGCTAAAGAGTCGATAAATATATATTGCTACTAGCGGGGAAATATATTTAAAAACGTCTGAAAACTTAAAAACATAACATACAAATGAAAAGATAACTCATTAATTTAAAATCAAATATAACCCGATCGCGCCAATAATCGATTCTTTAAATCGCGCAAAGAAATCGAAGGTTGTAGATTCCTTTGGAATCGTCTTGAAGCGACGACACGCAACAGACATCATAGTTCATAGTTCATTTATTTGGTATAGCCCTGTGAGCCATTCGGCTCTTGAATCGGGTGCAACCACAACAAACAAAAAACATGAACAAGAAAACATCTTAAAGTGATTATGTGACTGTGCAAACAGAAAATACAGGAAAAAAATATCAAAATATTCCTGAAATAGCACCGTACACCAACGCTGTGTGCAAAAATCCCAGTGGGATGCAAGTCAAATAACAACAACAACAACCACAAGACAACTAAGATTAAGGCCATCAGTCTAACTCCGTACTACAATAAACAAAAACATGGCCAAAACAAAAAAAACTTTTCGAAATCACCAAAATAAAAGCCATAAATCCAATGTAACAGTGATCATAGGGACTGTGACCGAATTTTTAACAATAAACTACATAAATAAATTATAACACCAAAATCTAGAGCCATATTTTAGGCCACTGAATAGCAGTGGCAGCTAGGGTTGTACAACTCCTCTAGAGCAGTTTTGAGTGAAGATCTCATAGGTAGTGATTCAAGTTGCAGTTTATTGGCAATAACATTCCAGACCCTGGGGGCATCAATAGCAAAGGCCCTTCCTCCAGTTTTTGTACGGCAATAGGGAATGTGAAGCTGGTAAATGAGCGAAGACCTGAGGTCAAATTTGTTCTTTGAAACAGAGAGGAGATCCAGTAGGTAGTCTGCGGATTTTTTTGTAAGTACATCGTGAATAAATAAGATCTGGTGCACAAGCCATCGAACATTAAGAGATGTTAAGTTTGACCCAATGTAGAGATCACAGTGAGATCACAGAGATCACAATGGATAAACCAGCAAATCTTAAAAAAAGTATTACAATGCTGTATGCTCAAATCCCAGTGTGATGCAAGTGAAACAATACCAACCATAAGATAGATTAACCCTATGTTTTCGAAATCACCAAAAAAGCTTCAAAAACAATTTTACAACAGTAATCATAGGAACTGCGATTCTCATTTAACAATAAACGATATAAATAGCATGTACGACCAAACTAGCAGCCATAGCTGGCAGCATGCCACTCCCAGTGTATGATGTGTGAGTCAGCGCATGATGAGTGAGTGTATGATGAGTGAATGGGTCAGTGGTTGTGTGAGTGAGTGTATGATAATATAATTTGGTTGCATGTCGGCAAGTATGCTAAACATCTTCTTTGGTTCTTTCGGTAAAGTCACGTAGAATGAGAATAAAATAATAAAATAACACGATAAAATTCTCACGACGTTTCGGCCACAATGCAAGCGGCCGTCTTCAGGTGAAAGGAACAGACATTTCGAACAGACACATATTCACAACTTTTCCTTTCATATATAAGATAGATAGAGTCAGCATGTACTATTGTAGTGAAAGCTGTAATCATAGCAGGAACCACCATAGTCGGTATGCACTGCTGTAGTCATAGCAGGATACCACCACAGTCAGCATGCAATGCTGTAGTCATAGCAGGTACCACCACAGCAGTATGCAATGCTGTAAAAACAGGTACTACCACAGCAGTATACACTGCTGTAATCATAGCAGGTGCCACCACAGCAGTATGCACTGCTGAAATCATAGCAGGTACCACAACAGCAGTATGCACTGCTGTAATCATAGCAGGTACCACCACAGCAGTATGCACTGCTGTAATCATAGCAGGTACCACAACAGGAGTATGCACTGCTGTAATCATAGCAGGTACCACCACAGCAGTATGCACTGCTGTAATCATAGCAGGTACCACCACAGCACGGTGTATTCATAGCAGGTACCACCACAGTCAGTATGCACTGCTGTAATCATAGCAGGTACCATCACAATATGCACTGCTGTAATAATAGCAGGTACCACCACAATCAGTATGCACTGCTGTAATCATAGCAGGTACCACCACAATCAGTATGCACTGCTGTAATCATAGCAGGTACCACCACAATCAGTATGCACTGCTATAATAATAGCAGGTACCACCAGTCGGTATGCACTGCTGTAATCATAGCAGGTAGCACCACAGTATGCAGTGCTGTAGTGATAGTAGATACTGCTATCGAGTTGGTAGATACTGCTATATCGAGTTAGTAGATACTAAAACAGTCGGTATATACCACTACAGTCATTAAATACTGCTACAGTTAGCAAATACTACTACACAGTCAGTAGATACTACTACGGTCAGTAACTACTGCTATAGAGTCCGTAGTTACTGCTATACATTTAGTAGATACTGCTTTAGAGTTAGTAGTTACTACTATAGTCAGTGGATACTACTATAGAGTCAGCAGATACTACTAGACAGTTGTTACTACTGTAGAGTCGGTAGATACTACTGTAGGCCCAGTAAATACTGCTACGGTCAGTAGTTATTACAGTCACTAAATACTACTACACAGTCAGTAGCTACTACTGGCTCAGTAGATACCGTCATTAGATACAACTACAGAGTCAACAGATACTACTTCCTCTGTTTTATGTAGGGTATATATACCTACGCAGGGGTAAAGATATTTTTGAGGTGGGGGTCGACAATTTTCAGAAACCTTTTAGATAAACTATTTACCCCCCACTTTCTATAACTTTCTGGACTTGTGCAAGCTTCTTATAATTTCGTTGGTGGAGAAATGGACAAACGGCCCACAGGGCTTTCATAACAGCTTACTATCTGTGTATGTAAATGTACGGTTTTAAAGAGAAGTTTTGAAATAGATTTTTTTACCCGGGCTACGCCGGGTACTTACCGCTAGTATATATATAATCTTACAAAATGAACACACCTGGCCCTTCTGGAGGTGATGGTTCTGGCTCATTGATGCCGGAGGTTGGAGGTGGGGGTGTCTTGTCCTTCGATGCAGTTGGTTCTGTAGGAAGAGTGCAAACCTCACTGATTGGCTGTGCCAGGTGGTGGTGCATTTAAGTACACATTTACCTGATCCAACAAAAAAAATGATGGCATTTAATATATTATCCATGTGATTTTGCAACTAATTCCAGAATGGTACCTGGGCTTGCTTTAGATGGAGTTGGTGCAGGGGGTCCACCTGCTGTGGAGCAGCAGAATCTGACCTTGTAGTTGTAACATGGCAGTCCTCCTTGATCCTCATTGACACATTTCAGTCCTTTATTCTTGTCACAAGTTATTGTCTGGCCCAATTCCTGCCATGGGGTATTGGGGAATCTCTCGGCTTTGCATTCAATGTTTTGCACCGGTGAGTCAGGCAGACAAACCACTTTCCCTGAGGCTATGACCTTCTGGTAAGATTCCTCATCTCCGCCATTTTCTTCATCAGGATATTGCTCATGGTACCAGTCAGACCAGCCTGGAGTACAGTCTTCTGCAAAGATACATTCTTAATCAGTCTTCAAACGGTTACTATGTATATATCAACTACATTTCTATAAGATAATGTTCTGACAGCTATAAAATGCATCATACCTATTAATGTGCAGTTTGTAGGAATGTATAGCGAAATATGTATTTACGTACAGCAAGCATACATTGAGTCTTCATCATGAATGGACTGTACATAGAGTTACTGAATTTTCGTTGAGTATCAACCCGAAATCCTGGTGAGCTGCCATACCCCTTCTGTTAGCACCCCCTACTTTTAGGAAGATACGGTCGCTCAATTACTCTGACACAGGCTGATCTACTGCTCCGTAAGTTCCTCCTATTCTGCTACCAACCCAGCCTAGAGTCTGTGAGTCATACCCTGTTCCAGTAAATCAGCCAAGTTTGGGACCAGAACACTGTAAAGTAGGACAAAAGCCCACATTTAAAATGCTTCAGGACACTAGCATAGCCTTTTTGAAACCGGGAATGTCCCGGCACAACCAGAACACATGGTTGTTTTGACTGAACATGTGATTGTATGTAAAATATTATCCACATGTGATGTTGCAACTAATTCCACCATGGTACCTGGGCCTGGAGTTGGGGGTGATGGTTCTGGCTCCTTGCTGCTGGAGGTTGGAGGTGGGGGTGTCTTGTCCTTCGATCCAGTTGGCTCTGGAGGAGGAGCGCCACTCTCTTCAGGAGCTGGCTTTGTTGGCTTTTCCTCTACCGGGGGTTTCGGTGTCACTTTGAAAGAAAAGCAAGGGATGGACGTTGACATAATGTAGATTGTTTAGACGTGGGAGCATGGACATACAGAACAATAAAGGTACGTGGCATTCTGCCCTCTCCAGCCACATCGTTAAACATTAGCCTATGATATCTATTACACAAGTAGTCACCCATCCCAACCTCATCCAGGTGCAAGTCTAATTCGATTATGAGATCTAACACATGAAGTCGCATTGTGTAATATGATCCTAAGTAGTATACAGCCTGCATATCTTCTTCTAACCTATAAAAGGCATTTTTTGTCTGTCCGTATGTCTGTCCGTCCGTCTGCGTACGCTCGCTTGCGGGGGATTTGGCTCTCGGACCGTGGGGATCGCGTAGAAAAAAAATTTGCCGGGCGGCACGCCCCAGGCCCTGCGGTGGGAATAGGCTATTCCGTTTTTCCATCCCTAAACTTTAAAGTGGTTAAAATCGCGTTTTGGTGCGATTTATCTATATTTATTTATTTATGCCGACCGGCTCGCTGCTGCGCCGGCGCGAAACTCTAACGCGAGTTGCCCCTGGCAACGCACAGCGATTAAATAGTATTATTGTAGCGCGGGGGGGGGGCGGGGGATAGCGGCCCAGCCCCCAGCCTCGGCCGGCCGTGCAATCTAGGCGAGGCCGGGGGCTCTGCACGGGACTAGGCCTCGTCACGGCAATCTGTCAGGTGAGTACTTTGTGCTAAAGAGTCGATAAATATATATTGCTACTAGCGGGGAAATATATTTAAAAACGTCTGAAAACTTAAAAACATAACATACAAATGAAAAGATAACTCATTAATTTAAAATCAAATATAACCCGATCGCGCCAATAATCGATTCTTTAAATCGCGCAAAGAAATCGAAGGTTGTAGATTCCTTTGGAATCGTCTTGAAGCGACGACACGCAACAGACATCATAGTTCATAGTTCATTTATTTGGTATAGCCCTGTGAGCCATTCGGCTCTTGAATCGGGTGCAACCACAACAAACAAAAAACATGAACAAGAAAACATCTTAAAGTGATTATGTGACTGTGCAAACAGAAAATACAGGAAAAAAATATCAAAATATTCCTGAAATAGCACCGTACACCAACGCTGTGTGCAAAAATCCCAGTGGGATGCAAGTCAAATAACAACAACAACAACCACAAGACAACTAAGATTAAGGCCATCAGTCTAACTCCGTACTACAATAAACAAAAACATGGCCAAAACAAAAAAAAACTTTTCGAAATCACCAAAATAAAAGCCATAAATCCAATGTAACAGTGATCATAGGGACTGTGACCGAATTTTTAACAATAAACTACATAAATAAATTATAACACCAAAATCTAGAGCCATATTTTAGGCCACTGAATAGCAGTGGCAGCTAGGGTTGTACAACTCCTCTAGAGCAGTTTTGAGTGAAGATCTCATAGGTAGTGATTCAAGTTGCAGTTTATTGGCAATAGCATTCCAGACCCTGGGGGCATCAATAGCAAAGGCCCTTCCTCCAGTTTTTGTACGGCAATAGGGAATGTGAAGCTGGTAAATGAGCGAAGACCTGAGGTCAAATTTGTTCTTTGAAACAGAGAGGAGATCCAGTAGGTAGTCTGCGGAATTTTTTGTAAGTACATCGTGAATAAATAAGATCTGGTGCACAAGCCATCGAACATTAAGAGATGTTAAGTTTGACCCAATGTAGAGATCACAGTGAGATCACAGAGATCACATAATGGATAAACCAGCAAATCTTAAAAAAGTATTACAACGCTGTATGCTCAAATCCCAGTGTGATGCAAGTGAAACAATACCAACCATAAGATAGATTAACCCTATGTTTTCGAAATCACCAAAAAAGCTTCAAAAACAATTTTACAACAGTAATCATAGGAACTGCGATTCTCATTTAACAATAAACGATATAAATAGCATGTACGACCAAACTAGCAGCCATAGTTGGCAGCATGCCACTCCCAGTGTATGATGTGTGAGTCAGCGCATGATGAGTGAGTGTATGATGAGTGAATGGGTCAGTGGTTGTGTGAGTGAGTGTATGATAATATAATTTGGTTGCATGTCGGCAAGTATGCTAAACATCTTCTTTGGTTCTTTCGGTAAAGTCACGTAGAATGAGAATAAAATAATAAAATAACACGATAAAATTCTCACGACGTTTCGGCCACAATGCAAGCGGCCGTCTTCAGGTGAAAGGAACAGACATTTCGAACAGACACATATTCACAACTTTTACTTTCATATATAAGATAGATAGAGTCAGCATGTACTATTGTAGTGAAAGCTGTAATCATAGCAGGAACCACCATAGTCGGTATGCACTGCTGTAGTCATAGCAGGATACCACCACAGTCAGCATGCAATGCTGTAGTCATAGCAGGTACCACCACAGCAGTATGCAATGCTGTAATAGCAGGTACCACCACAGCAGTATGCACTGCTGTAATCATAGCAGGTGCCACCACAGCAGTATGCACTGCTGAAATCATAGCAGGTACCACAACAGCAGTATGCAGTGCTGTAATCATAGCAGGTACCACCACAGCAGTATGCACTGATGTAATCATAGCAGGTACCACAACAGGAGTATGCACTGCTGTAATCATAGCAGGTACCACCACAGCAGTATGCACTGCTGTAATCACAGCAGGTACCACCACAGCACGGTGTATTCATAGCAGGTACCACCACAGTCAGTATGCACTGCTGTAATCATAGCAGGTACCATCACAATATGCACTGCTGTAATAATAGCAGGTACCACCACAATCAGTATGCACTGCTGTAATCATAGCAGGTACCACCACAATCAGTATGCACTGCTGTAATCATAGCAGGTACCACCACAATCAGTATGCACTGCTATAATAATAGCAGGTGCCACCAGTCGGTATGCACTGCTGTAATCATAGCAGGTAGCACCACAGTATCCAGTGCTGTAGTGATAGTAGATACTGCTATCGAGTTGGTAGATACTGCTATATTGAGTTAGTAGATACTAAAACAGTCGGTATATACCACTACAGTCATTAAATACTGCTACAGTTAGCAAATACTACTACACAGTCAGTAGATACTACTACGGTCAGTAACTACTGCTATAGAGTCCGTAGTTACTACTATACATTTAGTAGATACTGCTTTAGAGTTAGTAGTTACTACTATAGTCAGTGGATACTACTATAGAGTCAGCAGATACTACTAGACAGTCGTTACTACTGTAGAGTCGGTAGATACTACTGTAGGCCCAGTAAATACTGCTACGGTCAGTAGTTATTACAGTCACTAAATACTACTACACAGTCAGTAGCTACTACTGGCTCAGTAGATACAGTCATTAGATACAACTACAGAGTCAACAGATACTACTTCCTCTGTTTTATGTAGGGTATATATACCTACGCAGGGGTAAAGATATTTTTGAGGTGGGGGTCGACAATTTTCAGAAACCTTTTAGATAAACTATTTACCCCCCACTTTCTATAACTTTCTGGACTTGTGCAAGCTTCTTATAATTTCGTTGGTGGAGAAATGGACAAACGGCCCACAGGGCTTTCATAACAGCTTACTATCTGTGTATGTAAATGTACGGTTTTAAAGAGAAGTTTTGAAATAGATTTTTTTGCCCGGGCTACGCCGGGTACTTACCGCTAGTATATATATAATCTTACAAAATGAACACACCTGGCCCTTCTGGAGGTGATGGTTCTGGCTCATTGATGCCGGAGGTTGGAGGTGGGGGTGTCTTGTCCTTCGATGCAGTTGGTTCTGTAGGAAGAGTGCAAACCTCACTGATTGGCTGTGCCAGGTGGTGGTGCATTTAAGTACACATTTACCTGATCCAACAAAAAAAATGACGGCATTTAATATATTATCCATGTGATTTTGCAACTAATTCCAGAATGGTACCTGGGCTTGCTTTAGATGGAGTTGGTGCAGGGGGTCCACCTGCTGTGGAGCAGCAGAATCTGACCTTGTAGTTGTAACATGGCAGTCCTCCTTGATCCTCATTGACACATTTCAGTCCTTTATTCTTGTCACAAGTTATTGTCTGGCCCAATTCCTGCCATGGGGTATTGGGGAATCTCTCGGCTTTGCATTCAATGTTTTGCACCGGTGAGTCAGGCAGACAAACCACTTTCCCTGAGGCTATGACCTTCTGGTAAGATTCCTCATCTCCGCCATTTTCTTCATCAGGATATTGCTCATGGTACCAGTCAGACCAGCCTGGAGTACAGTCTTCTGCAAAGATACATTCTTAATCAGTCTTCAAACGGTTACTATGTATATATCAACTACATTTCTATAAGATAATGTTCTGACAGCTATAAAATGCATCATACCTATTAATGTGCAGTTTGTAGGAATGTATAGCGAAATATGTATTTACGTACAGCAAGCATACAGTGAGTCTTCATCATGAATGGACTGTACATAGAGTTACTGAATTTTCGTTGAGTATCAACCCGAAATCCTGGTGAGCTGCCATACCCCTTCTGTTAGCACCCCCTACTTTTAGGAAGATACGGTCGCTCAATTACTCTGACACAGGCTGATCTACTGCTCCGTAAGTTCCTCCTATTCTGCTACCAACCCAGCCTAGAGTCTGTGAGTCATACCCTGTTCCAGTAAATAAGCCAAGTTTGGGACCAGAACACTGTAAAGTAGGACAAAAGCCCACATTTAAAATGCTTCAGGACACTAGCATAGCCTTTTTGAAACCGGGAATGTCCCGGCACAACCAGAACATATGGTTGCTTTGACTGAACATGTGATTGTATGTAAAATATTATCCACATGTGATGTTGCAACTAATTCCACCATGGTACCTGGGCCTGGAGTTGGGAGTGATGGTTCTGGCTCCTTGCTGCTGGAGGTTGGAGGTGGGGGTGTCTTGTCCTTCGATCCAGTTGGCTCTGGAGGAGGAGCGCCACTCTCTTCAGGAGCTGGCTTTGTTGGCTTTTCCTCTACCGGGGGTTTCGGTGTCACTTTGAAAGAAAAGCAAGGGATGGACGTTGACATAATGTAGATTGTTTAGACGTGGGAGCATGGACATACAGAACAATAAAGGTACGTGGCATTCTGCCCTCTCCAGCCACATCGTTAAACATTAGCCTATGATATCTATTACACAAGTAGTCACCCATCCCAACCTCATCCAGGTGCAAGTCTAATTCGATTATGAGATCTAACACATGAAGTCGCATTGTGTAATATGATCCTAAGTAGTATACAGCCTGCATATCTTCTTCTAACCTATAAAAGGCATTTTTTGTCTGTCCGTATGTCTGTCCGTCCGTCTGCGTACGCTCGCTTGCGGGGGATTTGGCTCTCGGACCGTGGGGATCGCGTAGAAAAAAAATTTGCCGGGCGGCACGCCCCAGGCCCCGCGGTGGGAATAGGCTATTCCGTTTTTCCATCCCTAAACTTTAAAGTGGTTAAAATCGCGTTTTGGTGCGATTTATCTATATTTATTTATTTATGCCGACCGGCTCGCTGCTGCGCATGCGCGAAACGCTAACGCGAGTTGCCCCTGGCAACGCACAGCGATTAAATAGTATTATTGTAGCGCGGGGGGGCGGTGGATAGCGGCCCAGCCCCCAGCCTCGGCCGGCCGTGCAATCTAGGCGAGGCCGGGGGCTCTGCACGGGACTAGGCCTCGTCACGGCAATCTGTCAGGTGAGTACTTTGTGCTAAAGAGTCGATAAATATATATTGCTACTAGCGGGGAAATATATTTAAAAACGTCTGAAAACTTAAAAACATAACATACAAATGAAAAGATAACTCATTAATTTAAAATCAAATATAACCCGATCGCGCCAATAATCGATTCTTTAAATCGCGCAAAGAAATCGAAGGTTGTAGATTCCTTTGGAATCGTCTTGAAGCGACGACGCGCAACAGACATCATAGTTCATAAATTTTCATTTAAAGCTTTCGTGAGTGCAGTAATTCATATTCTTAGTTTTTTCGGTAAAGTCACGTTGAAGAGAAACAACAAAATAACAAATTATATATAAAACAATAAAAAAATTCTCACGACGTTTCGACCATAACTCAAACGGTCATCATCAGGTGTGTCGGTTTGCATAAATTTATTTTTAAAACGGCATATTTATTTATATATATAAAAATAACGTTTGCGTCACGCGCAACGATGGCAGACGTTAATAAAGTCGTAATTAATCGCAGTAACAGTTCTATTTCCGATGGTCTGAAATCCGTTTTAGCTAAAGGTCTAAACTTTGCAGTCACACCTAAACACATACCAGTTAATGATATAATTGCCCAAGTAGACGTTGCTCTCAGGGGCCTGGGTCACATCGCTGCAGACGTAGCAAGATCTGAAATCGCTGCAACCCTCAAAAACGCTAAGATGCCAGCTAGCAACCTCAGCAAAGATGAGCGTTTTGAATTCTATAAATTAAAAAAGAGGAATGATATTGTAGTTCTCTCAGCTGACAAAGGCAATGCTACTGTTATCATGGATAAAATAGAATACAACAACAAAATTAAAGAATTACTCGACGATGGTAGTTATACAAAAATAAAAAGAGATCCCACCAACAGCCTCGTCACACAAACCAACAAAATAATTTCTGATTCAACCACATTAATTGATCAATCTAAACAGTTTTCGTTGAAACCTTCTGCTGCCAGGCCACCAAGATTATACGGCTTACCAAAAATACATAAAGTTGATACACCTCTTCGTCCCATAGTCTCTACTATCAGCTCCCCCACCTACAAACTAGCTCGTTTTTTGTCTGAAATCCTGCGTCCTTTCACTGGAAAGACCACCTCTGCGGTACAAAATTCTACTCACCTGGTATCAACAATCAAGGGTATTTCCCTGTCCCCAGACGACCTGCTTGTCAGTTTTGATGTAGTTTCCTTATTCACCAAGGTTCCTGTACCTGACACCATTGCAATCATTGAAGACTTGGTTCATCAAGGACTAAACACTGAGGTACCCCCCCTGGTGAGACACTGTTTAACCAATACATACTTCACTTGGAATGGAACTTTCTACAAACAAACTGAGGGCACCCCAATGGGCTCCCCCCTTTCCCCAGTTATAGCTAACATTTTCATGGAGAAATTTGAGACTGACGCCATCCAGACTGCCACTCTGCGCCCAACCTTATGGAAGAGGTACGTGGATGACACTTTTGTCATCTGGCCACATGGCCGGCCTGCTCTAGACAAATTCTTCGACCACATCAATTCCATACACCCAGCCATCAGATTTACCATGGAAGTCGAAATAGATGGCAAGATACCTTTTTTGGATGTCCTAATTAAAAAGAGACCTGATGGTTCAATGAGCCACTCTGTCTACAGGAAAGCTACCCATACGGATGCTTATCTGAAACCGGATTCCCACCACCATCCATCACAGAAGAATTCTCTCATCAAGACTCTGTATCATAGAGCCCAATGCATATCCGACCAGGAACACATAAGCAGTGAACTCAAGCACGTACACCAAGCTCTTAGGGCTAATGGTTACTCCGACTATACAATCCGCAAAGCTATCACTCAAACCATGAAGAAGAACCCTCTTGAGGAGCCTTTCAAAACCATCACTTTACCCTACATTGCTGGGATCACAAAAAAGATCTCCAAAATCTTGAATAAACACAAGATCCAGGTCCGTTTCAACACATTACATAAAATCCGTGATCTGGTTCCGTCTGTAAAAGATGTGATTCCGGACATACAATACCCTGGTGTCTACAAACTAAGTTGCCTCTGTGGTAGTAGTTACATTGGAGAAACCAAACGCCATATCTCGGACCGCATTCGTGAACATAAAGCAGACCTTAAACACGGTAGGACCAACACCTCGGCCGTAGCAGATCATTGTTCTAATTCAGTAGGCTCACATGCCATTGACTTTTCCAAGACGGAGGTTCTTTGTAAGCCATCTGGCTTCCATGAGAGATTCGTTCATGAGGCTATCCACATATACAAACACAGAGACAATTTCAACCGAGAAGATGGATTCTATCTTAGCAATCATTGGAAAGATTTGATAAATCATTTCAGTTCTTGATTGATTGTACACGCTTACAGTGCCTTTCAGACAGCTTACATAAAAACAAATTTCGTCTCCCCCCTCCTCTTTTCAAAAAATAGATGGACTAGTCCTGGCAAACTGCCATCGTTGCGCGTGACGCAAACGTTATTTTTATATATATAAATAAATATGCCGTTTTCAAAATAAATTTATGCAAACCGACACACCTGATGATGACCGTTTGAGTTATGGTCGAAACGTCGTGAGAATTTTTTTTTTATTGTTTTATATATATTTTGTTATTTTGTTGTTTCTCTTCAACGTGACTTTACCGAAAAAACTAAGAATAAGACATCATAGTTCATATAGGAATAGGTTTTACCCTTTTAACTGGCACAAAAACTGACACCTTTATTCAAGGCATCATGTTTGCAATAACCACAACACAAGCAGTCAAAATGCAAACAAAAAAGACAACTCTGATAATAATATGCATTGTCCTTGAATTTGATTGGTCACACACCCGAGACAGCTTTTCTTAGAGCCTAGTCTCCATTGGTGTTGGACCAGAAGACGCCAAAAGGCGTACAACTCAAAAAACAGCACACTATCAGAGTATTGAGGGCTCGGGGTGAGCATGTACATTATGAGACCTCCTTTGCCAGTAACAAGATATAGGAATAGGTTTTACCCTTTTAACTGGCACAAAAACTGACACCTTTATTCAAGGCATCATGTTTGCAATAACCACAACACAAGCAGTCAAAATGCAAACAAAAAAGACAACTCTGATAATAATATGCATTGTCCTTGAATTTGATTGGTCACACACCCGAGACAGCTTTTCTTAGAGCCTAGTCTCCATTGGTGTTGGACCAGAAGACGCCAAAAGGCGTACAACTCAAAAAACAGCACACTATCAGAGTATTGAGGGCTCGGGGTGAGCATGTACATTATGAGACCTCCTTTGCCAGTAACAAGATATAGGAATAGGTTTTACCCTTTTAACTGGCACAAAAACTGACACCTTTATTCAAGGCATCATGTTTGCAATAACCACAACACAAGCAGTCAAAATGCAAACAAAAAAGACAACTCTGATAATAATATGCATTGTCCTTGAATTTGATTGGTCACACACCCGAGACAGCTTTTCTTAGAGCCTAGTCTCCATTGGTGTTGGACCAGAAGACGCCAAAAGGCGTACAACTCAAAAAACAGCACACTATCAGAGTATTGAGGGCTCGGGGTGAGCATGTACATTATGAGACCTCCTTTGCCAGTAACAAGATATAGGAATAGGTTTTACCCTTTTAACTGGCACAAAAACTGACACCTTTATTCAAGGCATCATGTTTGCAATAACCACAAGACAAGCAGTCAAAATGCAAACAAAAAAGACAACTCTGATAATAATATGCATTGTCCTTGAATTTGATTGGTCACACACCCGAGACAGCTTTTCTTAGAGCCTAGTCTCCATTGGTGTTGGACCAGAAGACGCCAAAAGGCGTACAACTCAAAAAACAGCACACTATCAGAGTATTGAGGGCTCGGGGTGAGCATGTACATTATGAGACCTCCTTTGCCAGTAACAAGATATAGGAATAGGTTTTACCCTTTTAACTGGCACAAAAACTGACACCTTTATTCAAGGCATCATGTTTGCAATAACCACAACACAAGCAGTCAAAATGCAAACAAAAAAGACAACTCTGATAATAATATGCATTGTCCTTGAATTTGATTGGTCACACACCCGAGACAGCTTTTCTTAGAGCCTAGTCTCCATTGGTGTTGGACCAGAAGACGCCAAAAGGCGTACAACTCAAAAAACAGCACACTATCAGAGTATTGAGGGCTCGGGGTGAGCATGTACATTATGAGACCTCCTTTGCCAGTAACAAGATATAGGAATAGGTTTTACCCTTTTAACTGGCACAAAAACTGACACCTTTATTC